ATTTGGCAGCCTCAGAAAGGTAATACAATATTAAGTGAATTAGACTAACATCAACAGAGTAAGAGACAAAAATTACGTGATCTGAATAGATGCAGAAAAACAAAATCCAACATGGTAGAAACATTCACTAAAGACTTGCACCTGATAAAGAACATTTTCAAAAACAAAACAAAAACACTAACATTGCCTGGCCAGGCGTGGCTCAGCGGTTAAGCATCCACCTAGGATCCAGGCAATCGGTGTTCAATTGCCGGTCAGGGTACATGCCTGGGTTTTGAGGCTGATGCACAGTCGGGCGTGCAGGAGGCAGCTGAACAATGACTCATCATTGATGTCTCTCTCTCCCCCTCTCCTTTCCTCTCTCTGAAATCAATAAAGATATATTTAAAAACAAAAACAAAACACTAACATTTAGTGGCAAAGAATGGGGTAAAATTCTAAGATTAAGAAAAGAATATTTACGCTTACAATTTCTATTTACCATTGTACTGGAATTCCTACCTAATCAAGAAAAAGTTCTAGTAATTAGACCATAAACTAGCAGGCAAGCAAGCAAACAAATGGCTCCTAGGTTAAAAAGTAGTCCAGGCTGGCATGGCTCAGCAGTTAGAGCACACCAGAGTGTCTGGGGTTTGATTCCCAGTTAAGGGCAGGTACCTGGGTTGTAAGATTGATCCCCTCACTGCCAAGGGGAGAGTGGGAGAGGCAACCAACTGATGTGTCCCTCTGACATTGATGTCTCTCTCTCTCTCTCTCTCTCCTCTCTTCCTCTCCCCCCTCCCTTCCACTTTCTTTCTAAAACTCAGTGGAAAAGTTGTCCTCACTCCCTGAATCCCCAAGGGTTAAAACAACAAAACAAAAAACTAAAACTTTATTAGATACCATAACCATATACTTTAAAAATCCTAAGAAATCCTCTACAAATCTATTATAATTCAGAAGTGAGTTGAGCAAGACCAATATATGAAAATCAATTGTATTTCTAATGACTAGCAATAAAAATCCAAATATAAAATTAAAAAACCAATTCCATTTACAGTACCCTTGGAAAATATTTTACACAAATTTAACAAAAGAAATACAAAGCTTATACTCTGAAAACTACAAATCATTTATGAAAAAATTAAAGATCTAAATTAAAAAACAAACCAAAACCATATTCATGAATGGTAACTTAACACTGTTAAGATGATAACATGTAAACTGATCTACAAACTAAATGTAATCCTTATCACAATCCTATTCCAATTTCTTTGAAGAAATTGACAAGTTGTATTCTAAAATTTACATGGAACAGCAAGGACCTAGAGTGCCTAACAATCTTGAAAAAAAAAAAAAAGTAGCAGGACAGTCTTGATTTCAAAACTTATTTCAAGCAATGGTAATTAGGTAGGGTGGTGCAGACATAAGAAAAACATACATTACATACAAAAATCAATTCAGATGAATCAACAACCTAAATTTAACATCTAAAACTTACATCTTCAAGATCTTGTATCTGGCAAAGGATTCTTAGATCTAACAACAAAAGCGTAAGTTACAACAAAATAGGTATTTAGATTTCATTCAAATCAAAACAATTGTGCTTCAAAACTATTATCAATAAATTCATAAAACTCTAGACAAGTTACAAGTTACTAATATCAGGAATAAAACTGCATCCAAATGATAATATTTCATAAATAATTTTATATCAATAAAATACAACTGATTCATAACTTGTATCATATGGACATATTTTTGAAAGATACAAGCTGCAAAACAAAACCCATGGAATAGCTTTACATGTATGAAAAAACTATAAATTGTAGGTAAAAAAATTTCCACAAAAATCCAAAAGGGGGAGGTACTCAGATGAATTCTGTGACTTTCAGTGACATTTTTTAGATATTTAAGCAAGAAATACTACCAATTCCACACAAACTCGTTTAATATGCTGAAGTCGGTATACTCCTCAACTTTTTCTAAGGTGGCAGCATAACTCTTATTTTAAAAAAAATATTGTCATAAAAAAAGCAAACTACAGGCCCTCAAAAAAATTGTTTTAGCAAAACAAAGCCAACAATTATTTAAAAGATATTTCATAAAATGGGCTCTTCAGGAATAGGAATATGAGAAGAAAGAAAAAGAGTACAAGGGCTGAATTAACATTATAAGAATCAATCAATATAAAATTAAAAATGAACTAAAAAAATCATCTGAATAGATGAAAACTCTCAGTAAACTAGAAATTAAAGCAAACTTAACCCGTTTAAGCAATCATTTGATTTACAAACATTACTCCTAATCACACCTCTCCTCTCAATACTTCAAATTCCACATGAAGTAAATTTAGTTTTCCACCTTTTCCTGGAAGAATTTCTAAGATCCTGTCCTTTGAATAATTAAAGAACACTCAATACCTTTGCATAAACAAACAGAGATGGTTACAGTTCTTTAGACAATAAAATCCCTTCTGTAAAAAGCAGAAATATTAACTATAGTTTAGGCACACATAACATATGAAAAAACACATTTTAAATTGCCTCTCCTGAATGTAGAGAGGAAGGTCAATAAGAATATAACTTCTTATCTTTACTTCGTTCCACTACCATATCTAAATTCTAGTTTTAGATCTGCTTGCATCATTTCAAAGAGAATGAAAAAGTTCTTCCCTGGTGAAATTTTATCATTTTGCATGCTTAGAATCCAAATTATTATCACCACTCTTACCACTACCAGTAATAGTATCTATTAACCTTTTGTTTTGGGATCTTTTGTTCACTTCTTCGGTCAGAAAGAGGTCACCAATGACATATAGTGAACAGTACATCATCCAAAGTACTATTTTAAAAATTCTCGTGATTTTTCAGTAAGGAAGTATTAAGGAAGAAAAGCTAGTGTTTTTTCCCCCTTATTTGCATATCCTTTGAAATTATTCTGCCCTGCCAACCCATTCCATTTTTCAAGGTTTAGGCCCATATTTACATGGCTAAAAAAAAAAAAATCAGTGAAGAAAAAAAACTTTTACTCCCCATACTTCAATTACATATTCCAGACAAAGATTTTTATATAAAACCAACTTCAGAAGAATTATTACATTTTTTGTAAAGATTATTTTTTTAAAAAGTTCTAAATGTTCTTCCAATTACTTTATTGTGGTCTAATAAAGACTTTAAATAGAAAATTTATGATCTGTAGCAACATATTTGATTTGTTTATAGAACCAATAATGACACATCATAGGCTTTATTCTAGTTAAACTACAGAAACCAAACAACCTTCCACACAAATAAAAAAAAATAAATTGTGGCTAAGATTACAGTTGTAACCAAAGGTTAAAGATGGAAAGATATATTTGTACATACTAACCAGTAATACTGGTGTAGCTATATCAATAGGAGATACGTTTTAGTAGCCCAAAACAGTATTAGACATTTTTTCATGACGATAAAAGACATAGTTTGTCCAACTCATCTTGTACTTACGCTAAACTTTACAGCAAAGACTGACACAACCACACAGGGGAAATTGATGAGAGTCCTCCAACATGGAGGAAGACCTTAACAGTAATATAACGAACAATAATAATACAACAGGCAGAAAAAATAACAACAGGTACTAAAACAATCAGAAAAGGTCCGGAAGAATGAAAGCTTTTGAATGGCACATTTATGAAGCTTTATTTCATTGGCAAATATAAACCACTGCATAAAATAATTGGAAAATAGACTCTCCAAGAGAGGCAATGTAACTTCAAGGTTCAGGGTACAAACTATGAAGCCAAATTTACCCAAGTTGGAATTCAAGTTGTTAACTTATTAGCTGCAAGACAAGGACAAATTTAACTGCTCTGTACCTCAGTTTCTTCAAAGGTAAAACAGTGATAATGGTATCTAGCTCAGTGGGATTTTGTAACAAATAATTATATATAAATAAAATTTAACAGTGTGAAGCACAAGGTCTCAATAAATGCTAAATAGCTTTTTTTAGGCACAAGGATTCTTCATATGAAATTCATGAAAGTACTCTAGTGACTCAGTGTATTATATGCAAAACTGTTTAACTGCATTTTTCTGGAATAAAACTGCTTTTGTTCTTAAATTTATGATCCACATGCCCCAAAAGCCCAAATGTAAAACTGTCTTTATGCCTTTTTAGAATCATACTGCAAAAGATTTCTTTGAGTCTATCAGTTTTTAAATATACATTATTACAGGCTGGCTAATTAATGAGTGGATTCAGTCTCAATGTATGAGGGCAGAAAAACATCATTAAATACAATTACAATGTACTTCCCTTGCAAATGCTTATCAGTACCTTGTCTTCTGTAAGCTATTTTCTCCAGATGTAGATTAAAATAATATGCCAATATCACTATTATTAATAACTTCAAGTATTTAAGAACAAAGACAAAAGTACTTGCAACTTATAGGGGAAAAAAATGACCAGTTTTAGAATCTACATCAATTGAACAGTTAAGATACAACATAAAATAAGGCCCAGAAAAACCCTTATTACTTATCTAGAATTATCTCGTAAAACTGTATTTTCCAATGGGAAAACTGTTGGTTTCAGGAAAATCAGTGAAACAGCCCTGGCTGGTTTGGGTCAGTTGGTTGAGCTTTGTTCTACGCACAAAAATGTTGCTGGTTCAATTCCCAGTCAGGACATATGCCCAGGTTGCGCAGCCCTGGGTCAAGGCAACCAATGGATGGTTCTCTCTCCCCCTCCTCAACCTTCTTCTCTCTAAAATCAATAAAAACATGTTTAAAACAAAAACAAAGTTATAAAGCATCATCAGGACAGGATAAATAAAACTGTTGAGCCCCCTGTGTTCCAGTGTAGGAAAGGGAGAGATTTGTCCATGTAAGTGAACACTCTAAAGGGTTAATTTAAACCTATCAATTTTTGTCCTAGATTTTAGAGAAACTAACATAATATATGGTTTTCAAGGGTATTCTGTATCACGTTTTTACAGGTTCAAAAGCCCTTTAGGTCTGGAAAAACTCAAAGACAAATCATGAAAAAAATAAGAAAAACTTTATTTCGAACAGGTTGAGTGGTATGTGAGCTATGAACAAGGGCTGGTTTCATTTCAAACCTGAATTGATGCACAAATTTGAGAGTTTAGCAATGATTAATTTCTGCTAAAATGTGGATTAAATCCATCAATATGCCAATTTTGGTATTTACTGTAGATCCTATTACTTATTCTAGTAGTAGAGACTAAATTTTCTTCACAAAACATATTAGAATAACCTGACAATTTCTAAGATGATGAGCTGTGAAATGTATTCTCTGCTCTGAAATTACACCTCAAAGTAGGTAAGAGAAATCTGACTTCATCCAAATGTATTTTTTAACTGATATCCTTCAGTCATCATCTCTTGTTGGCTTCACGGTCACTCCTCTTCTTATTTGACCCCAACCAATTAAACTGCAAAATGAAAATAAAAGAAGTCATGAATTTTAAATCCATCTAGTTAGCATTTAAATCCATCTAGTCACAAAATGTTGACATAACTAGTTTTACTTAGCTATCCTTTAAATTAAAATTTGACCCCATAACATGTTTCTCTATATAAAGACAAATCCATATTATCTCATTTGATAATATGGGTTTTGGCCAGAATGAATGACAAGAATAGATTCAATGACATGGAAGCATAGATCAGACTGACCAATGTCAGAGGGATGGAGGAGGGTGGGTGGAGGGGTAGAGAGTAACCAAAGAATTTATATGCATATATGTACAAGCCAAGGACACGGAACAATGGCAGGGGAGAGGAATGGGAGGGGGATGGGATGGGGTGGAACGGGTCATGGGGAGAAAAAGGGACATCTATAATATTTTAAACAAAAAGAAAATTAAAAAAAAAAAAAAGCATACAAAAAGTTCAGCCATAAATATGCTCATCTTTTTTTTAAAAAATATACCTACCTATTTAGAATCAACAAATAAGAGCACTTTAGGTCCCCCTAACAAACTACGCCAAAAGACAAAAAATAGATCAGCCAATTTAAAAATAAAATCTCATTATCATTCCCTTTTTTCCTTGATAAGTACCTCTTTCATAGCATCTCACAGATTATAACAACTTTAAAGTGAAATAACTGAAGAATTGGGGCATATAGACTAGAAACACATTAGGTAATAATGTCTGCTATAGTTGATGACCAGATTAGACTGCTAGCTCACCTCAACTTCAGCTTCTCTAACAAAATGCAGTTAAATATGTGAGGGTGGGGGTCAACCACAATTACTATCCTAAAAATTTTAATATAACAGGAGGAAAAGTAGCAAAAACGAGGTTACAGGCCCTTGTTCTCCCACAGAAACACCAAGTAAGTAAGTTTTGTTGATCTGCAGCAACTAAACAAATGCCAATTAAGAAAAAGCCAGTCAAAAGAGAAGGAAATTTTGTGGCAGTTTGCATGTCCAATGTGGCATACCCAAGAGGAAACCAATCAATTCCCAATTCCTCCCATGGCACAGAGGGAAATAAATACAACTCATTTTCAACGTTCTGGCCTATCTGGACTGCTCAAGAGACTAGTTCTGTCTTGCCTGACTTTGAGTGCTTAGAGAGCCATAGCATAGATACATATTAGATTGGAGACCTTGAAAGCAGTGGTGGGTTCCAGGGTGAGTAAAAGCTTCAGAGGAACAGAAGACCATGGGACAAGATAGATTATGAACAGAGAAATACAGTATAGGTTCAAAAAGAAGGATGAGGGGTGGGGAAATTAAGATATTTAAAGAATCTGTATATATGAGAGAATTGAAAAAAAGAACATATAGCTGAAGGGAACACATATGTGCAAAACTGCCCTGAGAAGACCTGTAAGTCTCCATACTTTGTTGATTAGTTGAGGTTCTTTCCCTGCATGAAGCTAGTCTACAAAGACTGCAAAAGATAGCTGTTTTTACAAATACCCAATTTGAAGTAAAATACCATACGGCATACAAAGATATAGGGAAACATGAAGTATGCTCCATTCAAAATAACACAATAAATCTCTAAAAACCAATCCTACAAAAAAGCAGCACAGGCCTTGGACTCACTTTAGAAAGACCCCAAAGCAACTGCTTTAAATATGGCCAGAGCTAATGGAGAACACAGATACCTGAAGGAGATGATAAAAATTATATCTATGAACAAAATGAGAATTAAACATGGAATTTATAAAAAACTAAATAGATTCTGGAACTAAAAATACAGGGATATTTAAAAAAATTATCAGATGAATAAAATGGCAGATTGAAAGAGTATTGGAAAAATAAATAAGACCTTAAATGCAGATCACTTGACTCTTAGAAGCAAAAGAAAAGAGAATAATAAAGGCAAACATCAACTGAGAAACTTATGGACACCACCGAGAGGATAATGCATACATTTGGAGAGTCACAGAAGAAAAAAGAGAAGGCAGGTATCTGTTAAAGAAATAATGACTAAAAATTTCCCCAAAGTGAAGTAATGCATAAATTCAAGAAGCTCATGAAACTCCAGCTAGGGTAAACCCCCAAAAGAACTATATCAAATGGCTCACTGGTTACAGTTGGCCTGTGAACCCAAGGGTCGCAGGTTTGATTCCTGGCTCCAACTGGGGTGTATATAGGAGGCAACCAATGAATGTGTTTCTCTTGCACTGGAAATTGAACCTGCAACCTCTCCTCAACCCCCAAAATCATACAATTTAGATAAATGTACTTTTATCCAATATTTAAAAATTGCTAGTGTTTCACAATGGTTAGAAACCTAAATATACACTGTAAGGGAGTTTCCATAAGATTTTCAATGGATTTCTCAGTAGATACCTTGCTGGTCAAAGGACAATGGGATATCATATTCAAAGTGCTGAAACAAACAAACAAACAAACAAAATCAACCAAGTACACTGGATCTAGAAAAAGCACTTTCAAAAATGAAGGCAAAATGAAGACTATCACAGATAAAGGGAAACTAAGTAAATTCATTATTGTCAGTAGAGTTACTCCATTAAAAAATGCTAGTGGAATTCCTTCAAGATAAAACACAATGATAGCAACACAAAGACCTATGAAAATACAGAAAATATAATGTTCACTTGGTAAATACACGATCAAATATAGTAGCTTGTACTATTTAATTTTGGTGCACAATCTAAATGGAAAAAAACAACAAAAAACACCCAAATAAAATGTAATTATAAAACTATGTTAATGGGTATACAATATGTAAACGTGTAATTTATTTTTGTGATATCAATAATAGTAAGTGCATGCACAGATCTTAAAATCAGATCTGTCACTATAAAAAAACAATGTAAATACAAAGGACAGTCATAAGAGAGGGCATGAGGAACAAAAATGCTACATACAGGAAACAATAAAATGGAAATAATAGGTCTTTCTATATACATAACTTCTGCAATTGCACACAGATTGAATTCCCCAATAAAGAGACACAGAGTAGCAGTAAAAAACAGGATCCAATCACATGCTGTCTACAAGATTCACTTTAGATCAAAGGACATGCATGGATTGAAAGAGAACAGAAAAAGGTATTTCATGAAAATAATAACAACAACAAAAGCAGGGATCATTATGTTAATATCATTAATATCAGACAAAAGAAAAATTTAATGGAAAAACTGTTATCAGACAATAACTGTTATCAGGTAATAAAACAATCAATTCTCCAGTAAGATATAATAATTAAAACATATGCATCAAAATGTTGAGAGGACTGAAAGAAGAAATATATAGCTCTAATTAAAAGGAGACCTCAACAACCCACTTTCAATATGGATAAAATAGGAGAAACAAAATTGTTAAGTAAACAGAGAAATCAAACAGCACTATAAACTAGCTGCACCTAACAGGCATATAGAGATTACTTTAACAAACGACTACAGTTTATCTCTTTTTCTCAAGTACCTGTGGAATATTTTTCAATACAGACCATAAATACTGGTCCACAAATCAAATCAATAAATTAAAAAAGACTGAAGTCATACATTTCTGATAACAATGAAATAAACTAGAAATCAACAGCAGGACAGCCTTGGCCACGTAGCTCAGTTGGTAGAAGGGTCATCCTGTACAACAAAAAAGGCTGAGAGTTCAATTCCTGGTCAGGGCACTACTACCTAGGTTACAGACTCCATTCCTGGTCGGGGTGCATATGGCAATCAACCAATCGATGTTTCTCTCTCACATCAATGTTTCTCTCTCTCTCTCCACCACCCTCCCCACTCTCTCTGAAAAGCAATGGAAAAATATCCTCAGTTGAGGAATGAAACAAATAAATAATAAATAAGTTATCTTCATATTACAGATAAAAGTGGTAACTATATTTGATACGTCAAAATGCGTTTAGAGAAATAACAGCCAAGTCACCTTAAGATATAAATTTAGATAAGAGCACAGTTGTACTGTGCTGGGTATATGGCAAAACTGAATATTACCATGTTCCAGAAAAAAGTATCTTTCTTTTAAAATATGTTAAGATTCAAAACTCAAAATGAACTTATTAAATTCATTTTGTAGTATTAGAAGTATGCTGCAATATTTAAGAATCCATATTTGTAATTCAAGTAAGGAAATTACCTAGAATACATTAATTAATTTATAAATGTCAAACATCAATGTATAAATCACCCTTCCTGTCACCTCTCTTCTTTATGCTGGATGCTGATAGAGGCAATGGAAGTGGAATAGACATAAGCATGACAATTAGATTCTACACAAGGGAAAACCATATAAAAATTCTTGTAAGATGAGTCCAGGATAAAGCATCTGCCAGCACTGAAATATTATGTTCTTGTTTATGCATAATGTAACAGAACAGCCTTTGTATTATTTTTAACAGTTTGGTACTTTAAATAATCTATACTTCAAAGGAAAGTAAACAGTGCATAAGCTCAGATTGTTTTTTACCTCATGACTTGGTCCTTTTATAATAGACATTCTTAAGAACTAGACAAGTCAATCTCTCCGTAAACAATAACTTCCTCTGTGTTTCCAAATGT